AGAGCGGTGGCGGTGGCAGTGTGTCCTAGGTGCCACCTCCTGTCGTCTCTCTGTGCTGCCGGTGTCGCCGTGGTGGCTCAGACGTGGCCCTGGTCCCCCGGGATGTCCCATCCCAGACGGATGGGTCGCTCCTCGGCGTTGGCATCACCCCCGCAGCCCCACGGGGAGCAGTGGGGTCCCCAGGGCGACGGGGGATGCTCGCCAGGAGAGCCCGGCTGCCGGGGCAGGATCCGACCGGGGCGAAGCCGCGTGGAGAGGCTCAGTGGGGGCTGTCACTTGTCACCGTCCCCCCGGGTACCCCGAAACCTGCCGTAGCACGAGACTGAAGCAAGCGAGCATGCGAGGGCGGCGGGCGGGCGGAGAGGGACATCCTATTCACCGGGAGAAAGTGCCCCGAAGGCAGGGCCGGGATCTGGAGGGGACACGCAGCACGGGGGTGGGGTGGGGGGTGTGAGCTCGGTGACGCGCTCCAGGGGCGTGAGGGGACCCATCCAGCCTCCGCCGCCACCCAAAAAAAGCATCCTCCTCTCGCCCATCCCTGGGAGCATCCTTTGGTCCCCAGGAGCATCCTTGTCGGCGGGGCCGTGTGCCCACTCGGCACCGGGGCGGGGGGAGCAGGATGCGACCGGGGGGGTCACACAGCGTCGCCTTCCCACTTTGGGCTTCCATGATGTCCATTCGTCTGTCCGGAAGGGATTGGCAGGACACCGGGAGGAGCACGGGCGATGGCGGCGGCGTGGGGGGAATTTACACGGTACCCGGGGGAGCTCCGACCAGGGGCGACGCCTTCCCCCATCTCCCCCCGGAGCCCCGAGTCCTTCGGGGGCGTCGATGCGGGGGATGTCCGGGCTCGACTGGAATCGGGGGCGTCTCTGGAATCCCCCAGCAGCCGGAGGGAGATGGGGTGGGCGATGGTGGCCGGGGTGGGCGCGGGAGCGGGCGGCCGGGTCCGGCGCTACTCGATCACCATGCAGCACGGCAGGTGCTGGGAGAAGTACTTGAAGAGCTCCGGGGTGGCCCCGGGGCAGTTGGTGAGTTCCAGCTCCTCCAGCTCCTGCAGCTGCACCAGCCCCGACAGCCCCGTGGTGGTCAGCAAGGGGCAGCCTGCAAGGACACAGGGTACACTCTCAACCCAGAACACCAACGCTCCCAAAAAAAATACTGTCCCAAAAAAATAGCATCTCAAAGGCACCGGATCCCAAAACACCAAATCCCCCCAAACAGGACCAAAGGATCAGGACCTCAAAATGCCAGCACCTCAAAACTCACCACACCCAAAAGACAGAACACAAAAAACCCCAGTGTACTTAAAAAAAAAGTACTCCCAAACCCCCAACTCCCAAAAGAAATCACCCAAAATATCAGCATCAAAAAAATCCAGCGCACAAAAACCAGTACCTTAAAGCACCAGCATCCCAAAATACCAAGACTATCCAAATTAGCACCAAAAAACCCCCAGCAGAACCCAGAAAACCAGAATGCTAAAGAATAGTGCTCCAAAACACCAGCACCCCAAAAAACAACACCCAAAACACCACAGCACTCCAAGAATCCAGCTGTGGATCTTTCCCCACAACTGGGCTGGGTGCAGGTGCCTGCTGGCTTGTAGGGGATGCTGGCTGTCCCCAGGCTGTCCCCAGGCTGTCCCCAGGCTGTCCCCAGGTCTCTCTCTGTCCCCATGCCCTGTCCCTCCCCAGCCCCTGGGGTCTCTGGTCCCTGGTAGAAGGGTGAGGGTCTCACCAGCCAGTGAGAGGAGGCGCAGGCTGCCCATGCCCAGGAGGTGCTTCAGGCCAAAATCCTGCACCTGGAAAAGATGGGATAGGGATGAGGGGTGACACTGGGGACAACCACAGCACCAGGGCTCAGCATTGCTGAGCTGGGGTAGGGAACTGGGTGCCAGGGCTGGGAACCTGAAGCAGGGTGCAGGATGCTGGGGCAGTGAGCTGGCTCTGGGTGCCGGGGCAGGGAACCGGGATGGGACAGGGTGCAGGGAGCTGGGTGCTGGGAAGGGGAGCCTGAGCAGGATGTGGGATGTTGCAGCAGGATGCTGGGGCAGGATTCTGGGTGCAGGGCTGGGGTACTGGGTCTGGGTTGTGCGACAGGGAGCGGGGAGCCAGGGCAGGGAGCCTGGTGCTGCAGCAGGGCACTGGCTCTGGGGATACTGGTGCTGGGGCAAGGATGCAGGGTCAGGGTGCTAGGGCTGAGTCCTGCTAAGCTCACAGGAGCTCTCTGCTTCCTGGCACTGAGTCTTGGGGTCTTCAGCCAGCCCCAGGAGCCCACCCTGAGCTCATGGCCCAACCCCAGGGAGGTGCCACCATGCCCTCTCTGCCGTGCTGAGCCAGGACGGGCACAGCCGTGTTCCACACCTACCTGGCAGCACCAGCGCAGGTAGAGGCTCCGCAGGGATGACATGGTGGACAGGTAGCTGAGGCCGGTGTCGGTGATCCGCACGCACCTGCCAGGACACGGGGTGTCAGGGCCAGCTGGTCACCCATGGGTGTCCCCAAACCATGGCCCCCATGCTGCACCCTTTGCTTCCAGCGTAGCTCAGCATGGCATGGCTTGGCATGGCATGGTTTGGCATGGGGTGACATGGCACAGCACAGCTCGGCACAGCCTGGCATGGCATGCACGGCATGGCATGGCTCAGCGCGGTATGGCATCACTCGGCATGGCTCGGCACAGCTTAGCATGGCATGGCACGGCTCAACACGGCATGGCATGGCTTGGCATGGCACAGCACGGCTCAGCACGGCCCTTTACCTGTCAAGCACCAGCTCCTCCAGCTTGTGCAGGTCGCAGGCGATGTACTCCAGGGCCATGTCGGTGATGCGGGGGCACCAGGACAGGTCGAGGCTGCGCAGCTTCCGCAGGTTCTCGGCCACCAGCTCCACACCGTCATCGGTCACCTTGGAGCAGCCCGAGAGGCTGAGGACGCTCAGGTTGGGCAGGCTGTGGACCATGTTGACCACGCCGTGGTTGGTGATCTCCCAGCAGGAGTTGAGGCGCAGGGTGTGGGTGGTGTAGCCCTGCTTGGCGGTGAAGTAGGCGAGCGCCGTGTCCGTCACGTGGTAGGCTTGCAGGTTGAGCTCGGTGAGGTTGGGCAGGAGCTGCGAGATGGCGGCGATGGCATCATCGGCCACGTTGATGCAGTCACTGACGCTCAGCGCCGTGATGCGGGCGTTGAGGCTGGACCACAGCCCGGCCTCTGTGAAGTCGTTGCAGCCTGACAGCTCCAGCCGCACCACGCCCTGCATCTGCTCCAGCATCACCTGCCGAGGGGCAGGGGGGTCAGGCCATGCTGGGCACTGCCACCCACCCTTGTGCATCCCTACTCCCTCTGAGCCCTCTGTGGCTCTTCCCACTGCTCCCAATCTTGCCTGGGTCCAGTCTTCTCCCTGGAATCTGCCTGGCATGTCCTCAACGCCTGCCTTAGGACATGCCAGCATCAGTGGGGAAGAGGAGGGGACAGGCAGGGACCCCTGGGTGCAGCCCCAGCACTGTCCCAGGTGCTGCTGGCAGGGTTGGCATTGAGGCCTGCTCCCAGCACAGGAGCTGTGAGGTGAGGTGTGCCCACGGAGCAGCTGCTGCAGTGTTTGGCCATGGTGCAGGGCAAGGATCTTGGTGGGTACCTTGCCTAGCCCCCTGAGTTGCCCCATCTCTGTCTGACCCTCAGCCCCTTGCTTGGGCGACTCCCTTGTTGGGGAGCAACCAGCCAAGCAGGAATGTCCCATTCCCAGAGCCCTGCTTGTCACCCACTGCCACATCAGAGCCCAGCAGCACGGCCACCTCACCTGGCTCTGCCTTCCACAGGCAGCAGGGGTGAAGCCCCAACAGCCTCGTGATCCTGCACAGGCTGCACCCATCCCACTGCCCAGACCACAGGCAGCACCCTTGGGATGGCCGTGCCACCTGCCTGCTCCTTCCCTGCCACCAGAGAAAGCTCTGCCCATGTGGCTGTCCCCAAGGCCACCAGGACATCTCAGCCACTCCGGTCACCTCAGCAGCATCACCTACCTCCAACCCCGCATCTGTGATGGTCGACCTCTTAAGGCTCATGGACTTGACCCCCTTCTTGGAGAGGGGGTAGTTGTCAATGAACTCACAAATGTCCAGGTCAGAGACGCCCACGAGGCAGAAGCCGTCGAAGCCGCGGACGGCGAAGCCCTGCAGGCTGACGAACTCCTTCTCTCCACTGGGCAGGATGTTGTACAGCTCTTTGGTGTGCAGGACGGGCGTCAAGCCCACCCAGAACTTGGGCTGGTAGAGCACCCGCCGCCATGCCTTGCACACCTGTGCCAGCACGCACTTCTCGCACGCCGAAAAGTACCAGAACAGGCGGTTGAGGATCTTCTCGTCCACCGCCAGCTGCCTTTCCGAGGGCGAGCCTGGCAGCCGCTCCGGAGAGGGCTGCTCCGAGCCTTCGCTCGTGTTCAGTCCCACCAAGGAAGCGCCAGGAGGGGAGGAGACGCTGGCCAGAGTGGCCAAGGAGAGCGGGGAGGCCAGGCTGGGGATGGGCAGGTCACTGCGGTGGGCTAAGGCCGGGCTGAGGATGGCAGGCACGGAGGAAGGCTGGCACAGGCGGTTTTTCACGGCAGGGGTGCCTTTGGTGATGCTGGCGGAGCCGAGGCCGTTGGGTTGCGTGGGGATCTTCACCAGTCCATTGCGGGGCAAACATGGGGGCTTGGTGTCGCCGTTTCTCGGGTTCGACATCTTCCACGGGTCTCTCTGTAACACAGGGGTGTGGGATGAGGGGCTGGGGGGCTGCTGGGGACGGTGGCCACGGCTGGGGGAGGTGGTGGCACCAGTGAGGGGGAAGATGCTGGGGGTCCCTCGGGCCCAGGCGGTGCAGGGCTGCTGGGCACAGCCATGGAGGGGACATGTCCGGGACACAGGGCAGGGTCCTCCCAGAAGCTGCATGGCCCTGGCATCCCCCTGTGATGAGGGATGGATAGGGATTTGTCCCTGGACATTCACATCCCTCTCTGAGCCTAGAATCCAGCATGGCTAACCTGAGATGAAGAAGGATCCTCAGACTGCTTTGGATTGGAAGGAACTTCAAAACCCATCTCATTCCACATCCATGCCATGGGCAGGGACACCTATCCCAGGCTGCTCCAAGCTCCATCCAGCCTGGCCTTGGACACTTCCAGGGATCCAGGGGCAGCCACACTTCTCTGAGCACTCTGTGCCAGGGCCTGCCCACCCTCCCAGGGAACAATTCCTTCCCAATATCCCATCTATCCCTGCCCTGTGGCACTGGGAAGCCATTCCCTGTGTCCTGTAATTTTATGCCACTGTCCCAAGTCCCTCTGCAGCTCTCTTGGAGCCTCTTTAGGCCCTGGAAGGGGCTCTGAGGTGTCCCTGGAGCCTTCTCCTCTCCAGGTGAGCACCCCCAGCTCTCCCAGCCTGGCTCCAGAGGGGCTCCAGCCCTTGGAGCATTTTTGTGGAGGGGAGGGGGAAGAGGCAGAGGAGCAGAGCTGCCTGTGTCCATCGTGCCAGCCGAGCACTCAGCAGCCGGTCTGTGCCAGCCGTAGCGCCGCTGATCCTCGCGGAGCCGCGAGGCAGCCGGGCAGCACCCGGCAATCCGGGCCAATAAATATTGCAGTGGCAGCAAGGCCGGCTTCCCACCGGCCCCGCCGCACCCGCCATCCATTATTCAACGCATTTCCCTCTATAAATATGGAGGTGAATTATTGATGGGGGCTCAGCCCCCTCCCCCTGCCCAGCCAGGGCCTGGCACAGGGCCCTGCCTGACTGCTGCCTGCCCTGCCCGCACCCTGTGTGCCAGTGCCACACCAAACCCTGCCAAAAAGCTGATCCTGGCAAGCCCTGGGGGACAAGGAGCTGGAGCACGGGAATGCAGCTTCCAGTGCTTGGAGCTGGGGACAGGGACCTGGCCCTGAAGCCCCGAGGGGTGGTTGGCACATGCATCCATCACTGACAGAAACTGAGGACCGTCTTGCCTGCCAGCTCCTCCCAGACCCAAGATAAAAGCAAGGCAATTATTACAGCTGCTTGATTTGGGATGGGGAAAGTCAAGCCCTGGTGGAGGGGCACCGAGGGAAGAGCATCCCTCTCATGGCCAAGCTCCGTGGTCCCTGAGGGTGCTCCATGCAGCCTGGGATCCCCTGCTGCCCCCATGCATCCCTTTCCCCCTCACAGCATAGCTGGCCTCATCCAGCTTCCCTGGAGCAGCCAGGGAGGGAGCAGCCACCCAAAAAAAGATCTCAGAAGCTCAGTCAGGTGCCGGTGGCACATCTGGAAAGCCCACGGGATGGCGAGGCACATGGCATCTCCCGAGGACAGCGTTCCCAGCACAGCGGGGCCGTGGGACGGGGCTGGTGGGAGCTGCCGCAGCATCTGCCGTGCTGCGAGCGGAGGTGCCAGCAGACAGCCCGGCTCGGTGGCAGCGTCCCGGCGAGATCCAGCCTCGGGGGACGAGCCCAGCCCTGTGCAGACAGTCTGGCGCCGCTCCCGGCTGGGATGCAGCCGCTGCTGCCTCCGCTCACGCTGCCCGAGAGCGGAGCTGGGCCGCCGATGCTTGGACATGTGTTGAACTCGCTTAAAAGCAGCAGAAGGGGAGGGGAGAGAAGAGAGAAACTCGAAACCAGCGGCTCGCTGCTTGGCAGCAATTAGGGAAGTAAACAGAACGTGCACCGGGGTGTCTCCCACAGCCACGGATCCAAACAGGCACCAGCGGCACGGAGGGGCCGCAGCCAGAGCTGCTGGGCACGCTGGATGATCCCAGGGAGAGGGGAGGCGGTGGCAGAGGGGCAGCCCCGGGGCTGGGGAGCCCAAGGGACAGGCACAGGAGGACACGGATGCTGACAAGCCACCAGACTCACGTGCAGCCAGCAGGAGGTTTTGGCACCGTGTCCAACCAGCTCAGAGCTGAGCTGGGCCCCGAGGCCGGGCTCAGGGAGGCTCAGTGGGTTCAGCAGATTTCCCACTCCTGCCTTGGAAGGCTGAGCCAGGTCCCCCCTGCCCGGGGTGCTCAGGCTGCCTGTCCAGAGCACAGAAATCCCGAACTTTGAGTGAGCTCGGAAGTCACTTCAGATAGAAAGACAGAGATTCGAGCCTCTGGGCACAGGAGGATCCGGGCAGCGGTGGGGGGGGAACCCAGGCTGGCATTTCTCTCTGGGGAAATGAACAGGCAAGAATTTGGGTGTTCCTACCACCCCCAGGCGCAGAACTGTGCTTGGGGAAAGACCCCAGTGTGGAGGAGGTGGGCTGGGGAGGGCAGTGGGTGCAATATCCGTCCCTGGGGCAGTGCTAGCAGCTGTCCTGTCCTATCCTGTGGCACAGGAAAGCCCCAGGCTGCAGCCAGGCATCCCCACAGTTCTTGCAGCCCAGGATTGAGCCCGCATTGCTCTGACGTCCAAAGTGCAGCTCCCACAGCCCCTGGAGGTCACAGCTGCTGAGTTCAGGGACACCCAGAGCACTCCCAGGCCCTCCCACCCCAGAGACAGGGATGGACAGACAAACACAAAGCTGTCTTGGATGTGTCAGCACAGACCCTCCCCGATGTTCCAGCAGCTCCATGAACACCTCCATATGCTCTTTGGCCACTCCAAAGCAGCAGGAGAGCAGAGATTTGTCCTTTTCCCTTCTCCCTGTCATGTCACTGTTTGCAGATTGCATGACTGGGCCAAGCACACCATCATCATCAGGATTGTTCAGCACTCGGTACAACCATCCTCGCTCGGGGGTCCCACAGGAAGGGCCCAGATTTGCAGCCCCCCTCTGCCACAGCCCCCTTTGCTCTCTCACGGGGAAGTTCCAGCTGCCAGCCCAGAGGGACAAAACCTGACAAAAGCAAAGGTCAAAGTCCTTCAGTCCCCCAAATGCACTCCGGGTGCACATTTCATAGGCTACGTCACTGCCAGAGAAGTCACTCTGTTCAGGAGGGGTTTGTCACCCACGGCAAGTGATGATGCAGTGCTGGGGGGCGGATTTGACGCAGGGAGAGAGAAGAAAGCTGGGGTCTAAGAGCCTGTCACCAAAACATTGCAAAGACCATGAGGATGCTGGGGTGAACAGGATGGAAACTGCCAGGAACACAGAGCTTGTCCAGCCTGTTGGAGAGTTGACTATCTCCACGTGGTAGTGAAGAGGGATGAGGGCCTTAAGAGACGGGCAGAGCCATCAGTCACCCTGTTGGTGGTGGGACTGGCTGAGAGATCCCTGGCTCCTGGATCAAACAGGATCGGGGGTGAGCTCTGGGACAGCCAGGCTTGCAGCTACCGAGGGCTCCGTGTCAGCCAGACCGGAGGCCACGGGACACCCCAAACGTGTGATCTGCAGGGACCCCGGCCCTGCTGGGGTCAGCACCGGGGGCAGAGGCTCCGGATGGGGTCAGCACCGGGGACAGAGGCTCCAGTCAGTACCACAGCCAGAAGCTCCGGTCAGTACTGTGGACAGAAGCTCCGGTCAGTACTGTGGCCAGAAGCTCCGGTCAGCACCGTGGCCAGAAGCTCCGGTCAGCACCGTGGACAGAGGCTCCGGTCAGCACCGTGGACAGAGGCTCCAGTCAGTGCCATGGACAGAGGCTCCGGTCAGCACCGTGGACAGAGGCTCCCCTCAAGGACACCGCGCTCGGGTCCCTGCGATCATCCAGCACTGTCGCGCCGGGCCCTGCGAGGACCCTCCTGCCCAGGTCCTACAGGACCTTTCCTAAGGGAACCAGCATCACCCCGCTAGGGCCCTGCGAATATCCAACATTGCTCCAACAGATCCTTCTAAGACGTCCTACTATAACCCAGCAGGCTCCTGTGCAGCTCTGCTACTGCCCCACCAGATCCCAGAGAGAATCTCTGATTGCCCCACACACTCCCCGGCGACCCTGCTGTCACCCCAGCGGGTCCCTGCAGCCCCCGCTGCGGCCCCCCAGCCTCGTTATTGCCCTGCCAGGACCCAGAGCCGCTGCAGAACCATTCAGAGCAGCCATCGCCGACACCTACACGCACACGGGGATGTGCAAAGGCCCGGCCGGGCCCGCAGAGCCCCGCGGAGGGTGGGCACGGGGGGATGCCCCCGGTACCGGGCTCGCTCCCGCTCGCACCCGCAGCCGCTGCGTGCACGCGCGCCGGGGTTGCATCAGCTGAATTCATTAGCCCGTCTATTTTTACTAATGCAGCAAATCAAGTTGCTCTACAGGCGGAGAAAACACACCCGACACGGAGTGCCGTGGCGGAGCGCGCAGCCGAGGCTTTTGTCCAGCGCTCCTGAGGGGATGAGCTTCCCTCGGCTCCCAAGGCTCTGCGCGATGGCCCCGGGCAGCAGCTAGGCTCCTGCCGGGGGGGCCGAATCTGCAGGCCGGAGCACATGGCAGCGATAAAGACATCCCGCTGCACAGCTCCGTGCTGTGAGGCTGCCTCCTGCTCTGATCCCGCTGGATCAGAACACGGCCCGTGCTGTGAGCAGCGGCTGTGCCACCGCCGACCCCCGGGGCTGGGTCTCTGCGGAGGGCTCGGATCACCCCAGCAATGCAAAGGAGCCGCTAAAGACCCCGGAGGAGGCAGTGGCTCCCCCGGAGATGGAGGGGCAGTGGTTGTGTTTGGGTAGGGAGATGCTGTACCTGTGTGTGAGTGTGCACAGGTGGATTTGTGCTCACACGGCTGTGCTGGGAGAGAGGCTCAGAGCACGGCTCCAAACTCAGTGCTACCTTTTCCTTTCTGCACAATCCAGGAATTCAGGGTAGGGAAGGGCCT